GAAAAAAAAAAAAAAGTTGCCAAGCATGCTTCTAATACGTGATATAACCCCAACTCGGCTGAATCAAGAATAACACTTCAAAAGTTTGCAGGCCGGCCGATTTAGAGTACTTAGCCTAGGTTGGGTAAGCCAAAGCAAAACTGACCGAGCTACTTAGCTTCGGTCAATACTTAAGGCTAGTTGTTTGAACTGGATTTAACCGAGCTACTTAGCTCGGTTATACTTAGGAGGACATATTTGGCCTGAAGGGCTTGAAATGCCAATCAGCTAGCATGAGAGTGCACACAACGAAAATTCTTCTAGACCTATATTTTGCAAGTTATTAGCTTAATCGGACTATCGGATAGATCCACAAACCCGCACAACATTATGAAATTAACAATTTTAGTGGGTTAATTAAATTGTTGACTTGTATTGATTCACCTACAACTCCTTTTTTAAGAAAAAATAAAATAAAAAAATTTGTTGATTAAACTTGTCGTTAATTATTATTATTATTTTATGGGACTGCGCATGCATGCGCATTAGGTTGTCATTTGCACATGCTTACCTCATTGTCAAATCCAAAGTGGAATAATTATTAATATTATTTTATATACCCTTAGCTATTAGCAACAATTTTGAAGTGGGAACACCGCCCGGTGGGTCGGATCAGGTCCGAGACTAGTATGAGTGTTGATGTGGTCGTTAGTAGCAGCTCATGAAGGCCGGTCGTGATTCGGGTCGTCACTGTCGTATGAAGGGGACCAACTAGACATTACGACAATTAGGGTACCTCGGCCAAAAGGTACCACCAAGGGTACCACCAAGAGTACTACCTTGGAGACCAACAAGAGTACCACCAAGAGTACTACCTTGCGTACCACCAAGGGTACCACTAAGGGTACTACCTTGGGTACCACAAGGGTATCACTAAGGGTACTACCAAGGGTACCACCAAGAGTACTACCTTGGGTACCACCAAGGGTACCACAAAGAGTACTACCTTGGGTACCACCAAATGTACCACAAAGAGTACTACCTTGGGTACCACCAAGGGTACCACTAAGGGTACCACCAAGAGTACCACAAAGAGTACTACCTTGGGTACCACTAAGGGTACCACCAAGGGTACCACCAAGAATACTACCTTGGGTACCACAAAGGGTACCATTAAGGGTACCACCAAGGGTACCACCAAGTATACCACCAAGAGTACTACCTTGGGTACCACAAAGGGTACCATTAAGTACCACCAAGGGTACCACCAAGTATACCACCAAGAGTACCACCTCAGCACCTAAGCAGCTAGGCACTTCGGCAGGGTGTCTATTTGAGTAGAATATCCGACGTTCCAATCTGATTGGATCTTTTTTACTTGTAAAGACAATTTATTGAAATTTATATTATTTTAGGCATTTCTTTATCTTATGTCTTTGCATTTATCTCATATTTGCACATATGATAAAGTCCTTAGATCATTATTAGCTATGAGACATGGTTGCGTTCGATGGCAATCATGGAACATGTCTTTAAAGTTGTAATCCTAAATGAGTTCCAAGTTGATGGGTATTCCGAGACAGTACATTGAATAACCCGGTAAGACTTGTGCATATGATGGATGCTCGTCGGACGAGGATGTTGCATTCCATCAACATTAGCGTGCGGACGCAAATGTATATATGCGGGTGCTTGTTGGAGAACAAGTTCACTGAAAATGACCCGATGAAAATTATTAGTTGGAAGTTTCTAACTGTCGAATGATAATTTTCATGTTGCAATAGTACATGATTGATCCTCTAACTTGAGGCACGATAGTAATCTTGTGCATGTTATGCTTTACTTTAATTTATTCTTTGATTGCTGGACAATCATAAAAGAGATATTTTGGGTACGTATCAATGTGTATGGAGGTTTGTCTGTGGCCAACATAGAATTCGACACTTATGTGGATAAGTGAATTTTCTATGTTTTTCATAGTTTGTGATTCAAAGACCTTGGCCAAGGCAGGATGAATGTGGATTCATAAAGGAATCACTACACGTAAAATGGAATCATAGTTATTAAATCAATTGGGTTTCGACTTATTAATCCATGCCCAAGATTTAATCGAGAAATTAGTTGTCGAAAGGATTTTACACGTATGCACTTGCAATTGAAAAGGTTTACTCGCTATTTAACTTAACACTTGATAATCATGCTACTTGCTAGGTGTTACCATGATTTGTGGGTTATTGAAATTAAGGAGTTAATTTCAAGAATATAAATTAATTAGATTAATTTGTATTACAAACGAGTTGTAAACCCACTACTAGTGTTAATGGTGAACCTAAAAGGGTCAAACCATGTTTTGGATGATGACATTTTAAAATTGGTATTTCCAATAGTTGGATTAATTGACAAGACTTAATTAAATAATTTAATTATTTAATTAAATATAATTTTGATTAGATGTCAATTAAATGAATAGTTTAATTAATCAACTGAATTGATTAATTGAGCTTTGGATATTAATTAAGTAATTATCGGAATTACTAAATTAATAGTTAGATTTTAAAGTTGGACTTTAAAATTCAAATCTAAATATTAATATGATTAATAATTAAAAGCCTATAATATAGAGAAGATGTTTTTATTCTACGGGAGATAAGAAAAAGAAAAGTTAAGGATTTGACCATGTATTGGAAAGTTAGTTTCCTAATCTCGTGATCATTATCTTTAATTTGAATTTAAATTAATCTTTAATAAAGATTAAAGATTAACGAACTAAAAAAAAAAGATTAGTCTTCTTTTTCTTCACGTAAGAGTTGCGTGAATCTCCCAAGTTTTTGTTTGACGAATAGAGAGCTTCGGCAAAAAAAAAAAAAGTAATAATTATCTCCTCTCAATTTGATTCTTGTACCAGTTGAATCACGAGAAAAATTCTAATAGCGAAGAAGGTAATCTCGGTGTTGGAATCTAATGCAAGTGTGAGCGTCCAGGACGGTTTGGAATAAATCGCCTATCGTCCTCGCCGGTGGAACGCCGGAAACCTGCAAACAACTCTCACACCGGAGGGGGTTCTCCAGTGAAGAGCCTCCGATGCTTAAGTAAGTATGTGTATGTTTGAGTAGAATAATAGAAATTATGTGTTTAGGAAGAAAGGCTCACCCCAGTTTATATAGGGGTGAGTTACCTGACCTAAGGGTTGCCCGGATGTGGTGGGCTGGCTGCCCCAACTGCCCGTCCGTACTCTAACATTCTGCGCGCATGTCAGTGGTGATGTCAGAGGTGGTTATCGCTATCAACCAATGCATTCTCGCCACGTGTCCTCTGCACATGGGATGAGTATTCCTCTGAAATTCTGTTAGAGGCTCTTACACGTGCCTGTGACTAGGTCGATCCCTAGAATGCTGACAGCCCATACAGTGGTCGATCTATGGAGGTCGACTCGACTGCTCAACTGGTCGATCATTCAACTGCTTGTGATATGCTATCTGTCTTGGAGTCCTCCAGGTCTTATCTTCGAGGTGTTCGACCATCATCATCTTGCTCGGTCACCACTAGATTGGTTCGGCTTCCTCACGGTGCAACCCCTTCGACCGATTCAGCAGACCAGTTTGCCCTTGTGGTTATAATATCCTATATCATCTAGTCCCCCCACTCTGGTCGAGTTTGAATGACTCGATTTAAGAGTGAATTTGTGCTTGCCCTTCTTCGGGGTGATATTGCATTGGAAGTCGACCGTCTGGTGAGTTTCCAACTATTTCCCCAATTATTTTCCTTTTAACCGCCAGAAATAAAGTTGTCTGTCACGCGTCCTTTCTGCCGCACCTTCACGTCTGCCACATGTCGTACCTGTCGCGCCTTACAATCGCTTTCATTATTCCACCCCCTCGCATAACGCGCCCCTTTTGAATCCCGTGCTAATTGAATGCTCTCAACCGTGGGTTCTGCTTTAATGCAATGGCTCTCATCCTCCAACCCTTCAACTCATCCAAGTATAAAACCCATACTTAGAGAATTTTTGGACTTTTTTCACCTTTGCATTTTCTACACTCTCATGTGCTCTTCAACTTCTCTGCAAAACCCTAGCTTTTGCTCTTGGCGATCTCCTATATCCTTCCCAGCTCCTCGATATCCTACCCACTACAACGATGAGTAAATTGTTCTTCATTTGAACTTGTGCTTCCTGTTTTTCAAATTTATATGCTCTTGAATTTTTCGCGTTGTGTGTCTTGAATTCGTCTGTTGAATGTTCTGAGTTTGTTTGTTTTATTCAGAATCTGTTGGCTGGTTACCTCAATTTGATTGTTGAGCGTTGTGAATTTTGCTTTTCCCTTCATTTTTTTTTTTGAAATTCCTGTTATTCCCTTTCAATTTTTCGAAATCGCCCTTTTGGAAAAAACCATACCCGCGGAGGCTTCCTTCTTTTCCCCTTTCTCCTTGCGAAAACTCCTTTCCTGATATT